CCAAGCCTAATAACGAAGCATGTAATTTTGCCACATAGGATTCCGAAGCACCAGAAGTAGTCACGTAAGCTCAGCGCATTCTGTATTAATATATAGGGGGAGGGGGATTAGTAAATAAAAATAGACAAACATATCACATTTACTTAGATGGTTAGTTTTGACCCGATTGTTATACTATTTTACAAAAAAATAAAAAAATAAAAAAAAATACAAATTCATATGAATAATTCCATACTCAAATGTATTGAAAAATAACTTACATAAAAATATGATATTTTACTGTACAAACATTAAGCCTGCCTAAACATTATTGTGTAGAAACATAGGATATCTAGCTCAATATTTTTTCTAACAAGGTAAATCCGCCTATTTGGTCAGTCCGTTGGGCTGTTGTTAGACAAATCTAACTATTTTATGTAATTATATTTTTTCTATCACATATGAATAATTTTATACATAAATGTCATTACTTAAAATCAACTTAAATAATTATATTTTTTTCAGCACATATGAATAATTTCATACTCAAATGTCATTATTTAAAAACAATTACATAAAAGTATGACATTATTTAAAAATAATTCGAAAATCCTCGAGTGCAAAATAAAGTCTTCCGAACGATTGTACAATAAAAGCATATGTATGATCCATAAGCCAACTGGACAGTATGACATTTGAAAGCATAAGAGAGGTCAAGAATCCCGCCACCTGTCCTCCGTTAAGGGCCACATGTATGTGTCTCGGATAAATGATAACGGTGAATCCACAAACTCGACGAAGACACAGTATGCTTGAAAGATCCAAAATAGGGTCCGAAGTAGCCAATAATATTCCCCTGGGACCAAATGTGGAAACAACAAAAGTTTTGGGACCAAATTTGCAATTTTCTCCAAATTGAAAAAAAAAAAAACGACTAACGTCTAAATTAATAAGACCGTTAAGTCTTGACGGAGCGGGACCAATTTGGCAACGAAAAATAAAAAAGGACCATTAATGTGGTGCCTGGGACCAAATGTAGGAAACAGAAAAAGTTTTGGGACCAAATTTACAATTTTCTCTTTTTTCTAACAAGGTAAATCCGCCTAGG